TCTCTCTCTCTCTCTCTCTCTCTCTCTCTCTCTCTCTCTCTCTCTCTCTCTCTCTCTTCTCTCTCTCTCTCTCTCTCTCTCTCTCTCTCTCATTTTTTAGACTAACGCCTCGTCAAGATGGAGGTTGCAGTGCAACGCACCAGTATTGCAACGGCCACAGAGGTGCTGAGACACATGTACAACACCTGGATAATTTTACTGAGATATATTTTACCAGCACAGCAGGCTTGATCTATTTAAAACAAGAGTCGTGAGGACGAAGATTTCCTAGTGGTGCTAACAGCAGTAGCAGTAGTAGTAGTAGTACTAGTGCTACTAGTAGTAATAGTAGTAGTTGTAGTAATAGTAGTAGTAGTAATGGTAGTAGCAGCAGCAGCAGCAAACGTCATCACATGTGGGTGGGGCCCGCTAGTGGAAGTAGGCCAGGCTCATAACGTAGGCCTTATATTTACCAATGGAGTTGAAGCTGGCTGGATAAACATTGGCTTAGACGTTTAAATCATCTAAATATTCAAATTAGAATCGAAATTATGGGCCAAAAATATATGTATCCATTTTCGTGGAGGCCATCTTGGCTTTCTGCAAAATGCTCAATGTTGCCATGATGGTAATTATCAGATCCTGCATTAAGGATAATATATTTGCAGGTAAATATGGACTGCCAACAGTTCAAAGTTCACAATGACTTGATAATGTTGATGCCAGACTAAAAACTTAACAAAGTTACTTGATAATGTTGGTGCCAGACTAAAAACTTAACAAAGTTACTTGATAATGTTGGTACCAGACAACACCCTTACACACATTATTGTATCTCAGCGGTTGTACAAGTCTGGTGGCAGCTGCGTGGCAGGAAAGAAATAACTTCAGTTTGCAAGGTGGTTTCTCGAGAGGGGATACCAGACAAGAATTATATATACACATATATATATATATATATTTTAATATATATATATATATAAAATAATATATATATTTTTATTATATATATATATATATATATATATATATATATATATATATATATATGACCTGGAGGTTGACCTGGAGGTTATTCCGGGGATCAACGCCCCCGCGGCCCGGTCCACGACCAGGCCTCCCGATGGATCAGGGCCTGGTCAACTAGGCTGTTACTGCTGGCCGCACGCAGTCCAACGTACGAGCCACAGCCCGGCTGATCCGGCACTGACTTTAGGTATCTGTCCAGCTCTCTCTTGAAGGCAGCCAGGGGTTTATTGGCAATTCCCCTAATGCTTGATGGGAGGCTGTTGAACAGTTTTGGGCCCCGGACACTTATGGTGTTTTCCCTTAGTGTACCACTGGCGCCCCTACTTTTTATTGGGGGCATTTTGCATCGCCTGCCCAGTCTTTTACTTTCGTAGGGAGTGATTTCTGTGTGCAGATTTGGGACCATTCCTTCCAAGATTTTCCAAGTGTAGATTATGATATATATCTCCCTCCTGCGTTCCAACGAGTACAAGCCAAGTGCTTCCAAGCGTTCCCAGTAGTTAAGGTGCTTGACAGAACTTATATGTGCAGTAAAGGATCTCTGTACACTCTCTAGATCAGCGATTTATGTATATTTTTTTTTTCAACAAGTCGGCCGTCTCCCACCGAGGCAGGGTGACCCAAAAAAGAAAGAAAATCCCCAAAAAGAAAATACTTTCATCATCATTCAACACTTTCACCACACTCACACATTATTACTGCTTTTGCAGAGGCGCTCAGAATACAACAGCTTAGAAGCATATACGTATAAAGATACACAACATATCCCTCCAAACTGCCAATATCCAAACCCCTCCTTAAAGTGCAGGCATTGTACGTCCCATTTCCAGGACTCAAGTCAGACTATATGAAAATAACCGGTTTCCCTGAATCCCTTCACTAAATATTACCCTGCTCACACTCCAACAGATCGTCAGGTCCCAAGTATCATTCGTCTCCATTCACTCCTATCTAACACGCTCATGCACGCTTGCTGGAAGTATAATATATATATATATATATATATATATATATATATATATATATATATAATATATATATATATATATATATATATTTAATATATATATATATATATATATTATATATATGCTATAAGACCACAGTAAACAGGTGATTTCAGAATATGCAAAACAACCACTGTGAAAGAATAGAGAAATTCCAAGCACTTTCGTGACTACTCACATTATCAAGGAACAATTGTTCCTTGATAATGTGAGTAGTTACGAAAGCGCTTGGAATTTCTCTATTCTTTCACAGCGGTTGTTTTGCACACACACACACACACACACACACACACACACACATATATATATCACGAATATATTTCAATATTTCAAAGCTGAAGCCTCAAAGTTGTTTTTTTCCAGCAACTGCTAACACGAGTGTTGGGAGAGGGGATAGGAGAGGAAAAGAGGGACGAAGGAGCACCTAGAAGAAAGGGGAGGAAAGATAGCTATGGAAGAGCAACAGGGAAGGGTGAAACATGGAGGAGCAATAAGGAAGGGAAAAGGAGGAGAGAGAAGGGAGGATAAGGGAGAGAACTAAGGGTAAAGGAGAGAAGAAAAGGTAAGGGAGAGAAGGGAGGGTACAGGAGAGAAGGGAGGGTAAGGGAGAGAAGGGATGGTGTGTCATGTCATGTCATTTCATGTGTTACAAAACATTTTAATAATGCCTGAGATCAGTGCTATCAGTGTATAGCTGCCGTCAATAAATCTGGTGGCATCTTTGTGGAGTGCCGCTATATTCACCGGATGTTACGACTTGTGTCTAGACTCTGCCTCCGCAACATATTTAAGATATGTGATAATATTTGTTACGAAAATGGTAATACTGTGAGAATCAAGGAAGAGAGGGAGGGAGAGGCGGGATGGAGGGAAGGTGGGATGGAAGGAAGGTGGGAATGAAAACGTGAGGGGAAAAGGATTAACAGTGAAGTTAAGAAGGATAGAGGGAGCCTGGATAGGAAGAGAGTCAGAACAGGAAGTGTGTGCAGCCAGGATGAGGGAAGGGGGGAGGGGGGAGATTGGGAGAAAGAAAGGTAGAGTGGTGGTGAGGAGGACGAGCAGAGGTGAGAGAGGAAGACTGGTGGTGAGAGAAAGAATGGTAGTGAGGGAAAGGATGAACAGCATTGGAGCCGCATGGGTCGATCCTCTTTCCACACACACACAACACACACACACACACACACACACACACACACACACCAAATAACTGCTGCGGCATACGTCTTCAGACGGCGTCGGATTCGCAGCAGTGTTTCCGGACAGCGTCGTGCGGGGGCATTTACTATCTTCATCTAGCATTTTTACTGCTGAACTGTATGCCATTCTTGCAGCACTTATTCGTATCGCATCCATGCCTGTGTCATCATTTGTAGTAGTCTCAGACTCCCTTAGTGCTCTACGGCTATACGAAAATTTGATACATCTCATCCCCTAGTTCTCCGTATCCAACTTTGGCTACGCCGTATCTCTACCAAACATAAAGATATTGTTTTTTGTACTGCTGCGCGGTCAGCAGTACATGACCTACCAATTTCCTATCGAGGTGTTCCATTTCTGGACTATTTTGCTGCAATAGCTACCCACCTTCGCACCCGTTGGCAACAACGTTGGTCAACTCTGCTGGATAACAAACTTTATTCTATTAAACCGAGCATAGGTTACTGGCCGTCTTCTTGTCATCAGTGCCGAGGTTGGGAGACCACTCTCTCCTGCCTTCGCATTGGCCACACTCGTCTTACTCATGGGTATCTCATGGAGAGGCACCCTGTTCCTCTCTGTGAGCAGTGTCAAGTTCCAGTATCGATTAGCCACATTCTGTTAGACTGCCCTCTCTATCAACGAGCACGCAGAATTTACCTCCAACGTCGTCTTCGTTCTACTACTCTCTCTTTACCTTCTTCTTGCTGATGGACCCTCCTTTAATCCTGACTCTCTCATTGACTTCTTGACAACAACTGATTTACTCCACAAACTCTGATGATACTTTTCGCACTCCCCTCAGCCCTTTCTAGTTCAGTCTCTTGCTGCCCTTTACCCTTTCACCATCCACTGCCCCGCTGTTATCCGTAACCTATTACTCATCCATCTCCCTTTTGCCACCTGATGCCCTCGCTTCCTTCCTGCCCTGCAGCGCTGTATAGTCCTTGTGGCTTAGCGCTTCTTTTTGATTATAATAATAATCCGACATCTCAGTAAGGAATCGTTCAGGGCTCTGTAGACCGAGTACGTCAGGCCCATAATGGAGTATGCAGCACCAGTTTGGAACCCACACCTGGCCAAGCATGTCAAGAGACTAGTCCCGGAGATAAGGGGCATGTCCTACGAGCAGAGGTTAAGGGAAATCAACCTGACGACACTGGAGGACAGGAGGGACAATGGGGACATGACAACAAAATGTAAAATACTGAGAGGAATCGACAAGGTGGACAAGGGCAGGATGTTTTAGAAATGGGACACACCAACAAGGGTTCACAATTGAAAGTTGAAGACTCAGATTAATCACAGGGATGTTAGGAAGTATTTCTTCAGTCAGGAAGTGGAATAGTCTGGAGAGGGAGGTGGTGGAGGCAGGATCCATATACAGCTTTAAGAAGAGGTATGATAAAGCTCACGGAGCAGGGAGGGAGTGAACCAGTAGTGGCCAGTGAAGAGGCGGGACCAGGAGCTATGAACCGACCCCTGCAACCACAAACAGATAAACACACATACACACACACAAGCCCTCGCGTGTACCCCCTCAGTCTCACACTCACGAACATAAAACCTCCACGCCATATTTATCCTCATCACCAAGATGTTAAACCAGCGCAAGCACTGCACACTTTCACTTAAAAAATCTTTCACTTCAATAAGGAAAAAAAAAGAGCAGTGAAGTGCACGACATGGACGATCGAAGACCAGGTACAAGGGGATCTAATGCCGCTCGTGAAAAACAATTCCAACACACACACAAAAAAAAAAAAACAGAAGAGGATTAACATTCACCTGTGAGCGAGAGCATCAGGACGACCACGGGGTCATCAAGGGTCGTCCCTCTATATTTGTAACCACGACAACTTTCTGCAACAATCTGAAACAAAATCATCTTAATTAAAACGCTTCCACTTTTCAAACAATAATAATAATAATGATAAACAAAACGACCTTAATAATAATAATAATAATAATAACAAAATTACCTTAATAATAATAATAATTATATAATAATAATAATAAAAAAGACCTTAATTAAAATTTTCACTTGCCAAACAATAATAATAGTGTCTCCACGGGAAGTGGAGAAGAATTCTTCCTCCGTAAGCCATGCGTGTCGTAAGAGGCGACTAAAATGCCAGAAGCGAGGGGCTAGTAACTCCTTCTCCCGTATAAATTACTGAATGATAAAAACAACAAAGTTTTTATGAAAGATATGTCTTCTATTTCGGGTCACCTTCCCTCGGTGGGAGACGGCCGGTGTGTTATATAATAATTAATAAGAATAAGAATAAGAATAATGATAATAATAATAACAAATATTAAATAACGGTGCATCGATTTATCTTCAAATAAAATATGGCAGCCAGTCTCTGGAAAATCAAATGATGTGTTACAAGTGGCTGCAGATGTGGCAATACCTTCCATACTGCTGCGTCCCTCTCTAAATTACACCAGCACAATCCGGACGTTATTACGCAACATAAATTAAAAAAAAAAGAAACTAAATGATTGCAAATTATTTTAACTGTTTTTTTCCTGCTTTCTATACTGCGTGACGGTGTAAGTAGTGATTTACAGTAATGGGAGAGGAACTATGCTCTTATAATAATAGAAGTGAAGCTATGGTTGTGTGTCCATTGCAGGAGTGGAGCTCTGCTCTTGTGCCTCTTACAAGAGTGAGGCTCTAGAGTCCACTACAGGAGTAGGGTTATACTCTAGAGTCCATTACAAGAATGTACAATGTTCTTGTGTGCATTATACAATGCTTTCATGCCCATTATAAAAGTGGAACTACATTCTGTCTCCGTTACAAGAATGAAACTATATTCCTGTCGCCACTGTAGAGATGAAGCTAGGTCCGTGTCTGCTACAATAAATCCAGAATAGACGTCGTAGTAATAATACTCAAGACCACCAAGAATATTACCTTCCCACCTCCACGGATTATTATTATGATAAAAAAGCGCTAAACCCATTAGGGTCACACAGCCCTCCTCCACAGATCATCCGGAAGCACAGCTGTTTACACCAGGCAGCTCCTAAACGTATTTGGGCCATGCACTCCCTTCCCAAATACGACCTAATCTGCCCACCTACTTCACCTTCGTCACTCAGATTTAATGTTTACACGCACACTATGTTTCCCATCAGTAAAATGGGTACCTAGGAGTTAGTCGACTGGTGTGGGTCGCATCCTGGGGCAAAATTGACCTAATTTGCCCGAAATGCTCTGCATAACAAGCGGCTTTCTATGTAGTAGTATGTTACTGATGTCAGCTAGGCCTGTATCCCTTGTACATTTATAGAAATAAAGATATATTATTATTATTATTATTATTATTACTACTACTACTACTACTACTACTACTGGAGTGTACTCTTCATAGCAATAATGGTATATAATACCGGCAAGATGAGCAATACCCGGATATCTTTATTTGTTGATGTGTGTAGTTCTACGAGACTGAGGGACTGATTACCTTGCTTTCTACTGTCTCCAGTTTCAACACCTTCAATTAACCTCTGTACTTAACTGATAAAATAACTGGTTGGTGAAACGTCTTCAAATAAAGATACCCAGGTGTTGAATATGTGTAAGTCCTAATATGTCGAATATGTATGGAATATAACAAAAAAGTACGCACACACACACAGATTATATATACATATATATATATATAAGGAGGGAAGAGTATATGGAGAAAAAGAGAGAGGTTAAGAGAGTGGTGAAGCAATGTAAAAAGAGAGCAAATGAGAGAGTGGGTGAGATGTTATCAACAAATTTTGTTGAAAATAAGAAAAAGTTTTGGAGTGAGATTAACAAGTTAAGGAAGCCTAGAGAACAAATGGATTTGTCAGTTAAAAATAGGAGAGGAGAGTTATTAAATGGAGAGTTAGAGGTATTGGGAGATGGAGGGAATATTTTGAGGAATTGTTAAATGTTGATGAAGATAGGGAAGCTGTGATTTCGTGTATAGGACAAGGAGGAATAACATCTTGTAGGAGTGAGGAAGAGCCAGTTGTGAGTGTGGGGGAAGTTCGTGAGGCAGTAGGTAAAATGAAAGGGGGTAAGGCAGCCGGGATTGATGGATAAAGATAGAAATGTTAAAAGCAGGTGGGGATATAGTTTTGGAGTGGTTGGTGCAATTATTTAATAAATGTATGGAAGAGGGTAAGGTACCTAGGGATTGGCAGAGAGCATGCATAGTTCCTTTGTATAAAGGCAAAGGGATAAAAGAGAGTGCAAAAATTATAGGGGATAAGTCTGTTGAGTATACCTGGTAAAGTGTATGGTAGAGTTATTATTGAAAGAATTAAGAGTAAGACGGAGAATAGGATAGCAGATGAACAAGGAGGCTTTAGGAAAGGTAGGGGTGTGTGGGACCAGGTGTTTACAGTGAAACATATAAGTGAACAGTATTTAGATAAGGCTAAAGAGGTCTTTGTGGCATTTATGGATTTGGAAAAGGCGTATGGCAGGTGGATAGGGGGGCAATGTGGCAGATGTTGCAAGTGTATGGTGTAGGAGGTAGGTTACTGAAAGCAGTGAAGAGTTTTTACGAGGATAGTGAGGCTCAGGTTAGAGTATGTAGGAAAGAGGGAAATTATTTCCCAGTAAAAGTAGGCCTTAGACAAGGATGTGTGATGACACCGTGGTTGTTTAATATATTTTATAGATGGGGTTGTAAGAGAAGTAAATGCGAGGGTCTTGGCAAGAGGCGTGGAGTTAAAAGATAAAGAATCACACACAAAGTGGGAGTTGTCACAGCTGCTCTTTGCTGATGACACTGTGCTCTTGGGAGATTCTGAAGAGAAGTTGCAGAGATTGGTGGATGAATTTGGTAGGGTGTGCAAAAGAAGAAAATTAAAGGTGAATACAGGAAAGAGTAAGGTTATGAGGATAACAAAAAGATTAGGTGATGAAAGATTGAATATCAGATTGGAGGGAGAGAGTAATGGAGGAGGTGAATGATATTCAGATATTTGGGAGTGGACGTGTCAGCGGATGGGTCTAATGAAAGATGAGGTGAATCATAGAATTGATGAGGGGAAAAGAGTGAGTGGTGCACTTAGGAGTCTGTGGAGACAAAGAACTTTGTCCTTGGAGGCAAAGAGGGGAATGTATGAGAGTATAGTTTACCAACGCTCTTATATGGGTGTGAAGCATGGTGATGAATGTTGCAGCGAGGAGAAGGCTGGAGGCAGTGGAGATCTCATGTCTGAGGGCAATGTGTGGTGTGAATAATAATGCAAAGAATTCGTAGTTATGGAAGTTAGGAGGAGGTGCAGGATTACCAAAACTGTTGTCCAGAGGCTGAGGAAGGGTTGTTTGAGGTGGTTCGGACATGTAGAGAGAATGGAGCGAAACAGAATGACTTCAAGATGTGTATCAGTCTGTAGTGGAAGGCGGGGTAGGGGTCGGCCTAGGAAAGGTTGGCAGAGAGGGGGTAAAGGAGGTTTTGTGTGCGAGGGGCTTGGACTTCCAGCAGCATGCGTGAGCGTGTTTGATAGGATTGAATGGAGACAAATGGTTTTTAATACTTGACGTGCTGTTGGAGTGTGAGCAAAGTAACATTTATGAAGGGGTTCAGGGAAACCGGCAGGCCGGACTTGAGTCCTGGAGATGGGAAGTACAGTGCCTGCACTCTGAAGGAGGGGTTGTTAATGTTGCAAGTTTAAAAACTGTAGTGTAAGCACCCTTCTGGCAAGACAGTGAATGGAGTGAATGATGGTGAAAGTTTTTTCTTTTTCGGGCCACCCTGCCTTGGTGGGAATCGGCCAGTGTGATATATATATATATATATATATAATATATATATATATATAATATATATATATATAAATATATATATATATATATATATATATATATGCAAAAACAACCACTCTGAAAGAATAGAGAAATTTTCTAACAGAGTTGTAGATGCGTGGAACAGTCTTCCCAGTGGGGTGATAGAGGCTAGGACCTTGGGTAGCTTTAAGAAGAGACTGGACAAATATATGAGTGGGAGGGGCTGGGTTTGATTGTTGTCATTGGGTACGGGAGTTATTTCTAGGGAAGCTTTAGGTAGTAGTCGTTTTGATAAGGACCTGCCTCGCATGGGCCAGTAGGCCTTCTGCAGTGTTCCTCCATTCTTATGTTCTTATGTTCTTAAGTTCCATGCGCTTTCGTGACTACTCACATTATCAAGGAACTATGAAAGTAAAGCATCCAAGGAAGCTATATAAGGGGTCTGGCCAACACCTCACTATCAGATCCCAGAACGGTTAAACACCTGACGCGCGCCGACCCAACTGGATAGGTCCTTTGCACAACTCACCCACAAACTATTCTACCCAAGAAATTTAAAAAATTATTATTCGTCCAGTGTATTATTAAATTCTTCCCAAATTCTATTAATTATAAATGGATCTAATTTATATAAACCAAAGGAAATATTCATATTATTGTCAAAACTGCTTTTTATGAAACAAGATTCAATTATATTCCTGTCGACCATGGACTTGCTTGATACTACTTTCTCAACTTTTTGAAAATCAATTGGATGGTTAAAATCTCTTACATGAATAAATAGAGCATTGGAATCTTGTCCAGTTCTAATGCTATATTTATGTTGTTTTAATCTTAGTTCGAGATTTTTACCAGATTGACCGTAATAAACTTTATCACAAATTTTACAAGGAATCTTATAGACACATCCATCAGCATTTTGTGGGGAATTCTTTATCAAAAGTTTTTTACATTTTTTATGCCCAAAAATGTAGTTATACGCCATTTCCTTGGAAAATTAAATAGCTTAGCCCATTCTATAAACTTTACTGTTGAGTTTGAAGAAAATAACTCATTGCCTTTTCTAGATGTTTTAATTATTA